CAAATTGGTGATTTCACAGACATTATTACTTAGGATAAAGCTAAAGTATTTACAAAGTTAGACTAGCTATGATCTCAAGCAACACATTAGGAAAATTCAATACAGGTGGAGTGGTGTGTTTAGGAAAGACTGAGACAAGGTATTTAAGCTTTTAATAAACATCAGTGTCTTTCTCTTCTCCCCATCCCCTCCCAACTATCATGCCAAAAATTCTGTGTCAAACTATTTTACTGCCTTAAAATGGTTTGTATCAATCATTGCTTGCATTAAATTGGTCAACAGTGTACAAATCGAACTGTTAGCCAGAGGTTTTTGTTTTGTATTTAATGAGAGTTCACTAAACCTCAATAATAAATTTTAAAATATTAGGTGTCTTGAAAAAAACCAAGGTGACAGCAAAAGAACAGCGAAGAGTAGGGAGGGTCCTCAGAGGGAAAGAGAGCCGCAGAGAGGTGTGGGGGGATCTGGAAAGGTCACCGCACAGCTTTGCCTGGGGGAGACCCCTCCCGACAGGGAACCCGGTGCGAGCCTGTTTGGCTTCAGACCACACAGCTTCCTTCTGCTCAGTCCTTTGCCTACCCTCCCCTCTCCTCTGACAATCCACGACGTGTAGAATTGTAGCCTCTGGATCCCAGAAGAGCCCTTGTCCTGCGGCTTACAAGGAAGACGGAGGCTCCAAGAGACAGCGGTCTTCCCGGGCTCCCTCCGCGGGTGGGATGCTGGGCTCAGGAGGCGGCCAGGGCTGCTATGGGGACCGGCGTTGAGGGAAAAGAGAGCCGGCAGTGCCCTCTAGTGGTTGAAGGTTCCAACGACAGCCGCCCCCGCCACCCGTGCTTTGGGCAGCCCGGTTGCACGGAGATCGGGTTCTGTATTCAGCGGGAGAGGCAGGAATCACGTTTCATCTTTAATACCACTGGCAATCCTGGAGGAGGTGCCAGGCGGGAAAACTACCCAGAGTTGCTGGAAAGCCCAAGCCTCCGACTCTCCCAGGTACTAGGGACTGAGACCACAGGGACACCTCTGGCCCCTGAGCAGGACCACTTCTAAAGCATCCTTTCCCCATCCAGAAATGTTATGTATAAGACCCGCCCGGTAAAGACACACTGCCAAGTCCTGTTTATTGATCCACAGATGAATTCAATGGCTAATAGCCAACTGTAGTAACATGTGAAAATTTCATGTGAGCCAGGCATGGTGCAAAGCATCTTACGTACTTCCCTCACTTAATTCTCGCTTGTTTTTAATCCTCATTTTAGAGGTGAGGACAGTGAAATGTAGAGGCACAAAGTAAATACAGCCAGAATTCTAGCCCACTTGGTTCTGCCCGGTGCCTGGCACAGAGCGATTGTCCCTTAAATAGTGACTGCTAATGTCAGCAGCAGTATTCATGTCAGCAGCAGTATTAGCAAGACTGGGCAGTTGATTTCAATATCTTATCAGAATTCTGTGTTTAAATAATGTAACTTCTTTTTTCACCTGTCAGTACTGAATTAGTCTCCTGTTGACTTTCAACCAGTTAATCTGGGCGGTGCCCATGTAGGTTGGCAGGACCAAAAGTGCCTGAATCAAGCTCCTCTGACTTTTCATCACAGTATCTAACTACCCTCACTTAGTTGCAGGTCTTATTTCACATATTTGCTTAATGTCTTAACAACCAGATACTTCTAGAGCATTATCCCCCGGAACATAGTATGGTTAGATTTGAGGGCTGATATTGTAAAAGCCCAAAGAGAGCCAGATAAAGAGGGAAACCAACGTCTTTCTAAAGGTGTACAGACATCAGGACAGTCAGGCAGCAATGGAGCAGACATTCAGGAACCAGCCACCAGCTTGCCTGCCTCAAGGACAAGTAGCTGATCTTAATTCATTTACTAAATTTGCTAAAATCCTTCTCATCTGTGCCTCCGAGAAAGGGATCTTTGGGAAGGCAATAACAGAAACCCACTCAAACTTGGCAAAACAAAAGTTGATTTTTGT